CCAAGAACTGGATCCAACCGGCCGACCCATTGTTATTCGCAGTTCATTCCGTCCTCGCTGTCGCAAGTTTGTTGGTTTGAAGATAAAGTTGCTTACACAATTAGAACCTTGGCACCGCTATGCGCCCCACACACCGAACTAAACACGCACCCGTTGAAGATGATAATACTATTAGCGTTATAAAACGAACCGGGGGAAAACATCTCAAATTGACGTTAATTACGGACTTGTGATGGCGTAGCGGCGACCGTCGTCGGAATCGTCACGCACCAGACCAGACTCGATGTGGATGCGCGGTAGCGGCCTGATGTAGCTTCTGAGACTAACATAGCTGTTATAGATGCAGTCGGGGGAGCCTATCTCCCGCTCTCAGCTTGAGATTTGCACACTAATGCTAATGTATAATGAGAATGCGCTCCGGAATGGACCATAAGAAAGGCCGCGGAAATCATCTTGGTTCATGTTCGTTCGATACTACTGATATGTGCGCCAATCCTTAGTTGTGAAGTAGTGGGTGTAACTGTTTCTAATGTTGGTTTGGTGGGTTCAGCGAACGTTAAGATCGACTGTAGTCAACTAAGTATTTGAATGGGAGTGCGTTTTCTATCTGTGATTCAATTTTGGTGAAATAAATTGCTTCATAATTGTGCGTGGAAAACAGTGGTAACACCCAGGGCTGGTAGCAGGTGGCTAGGTTACTATTTTCAAGTCAGTCACTAAAAAGTCACATTTTCACCCAAAAATCACTAAAGTCACTTTTTTTTACGACCAATATTGATGATAGTAAAGAAGCTTGATTTGGCAACAATTTTTAATACATATAATACATAACTCTGGATGGTAGCATACCATCAATTACTGTCAATGGTCGAAAGGTACAGTAGCAACACCTACCCCACCCGTGTCCCCTCGAGATCGTCAAGTCGACGATGACAGGAGCACATATCGTGGTAGGGGTAAACAATAGTTGCAATTTCCAAACCTACGACTGGATGCCTTCCTTCAAATAACAATTGAAGTGCGGTAAAAATCGGTAGAACTGTTTCAAACACACAGTTGGTACTTGAACGGGTCGGTTTTCATCTCTTTTTGCCAGTGGTGGCGGGGGGGGGGGGACACCCCCTCACCATCCCTCTCCAAAGAGGGAGTTTGGTAAAGAGAGATGAAAAAACCGATTTGTACCTTCCTTAAAAGTTGTCCTAGTTCGCTATTCTAATATCTATATACAATCTTCACACTGCCGTACTCTAACGGAACTATCAACTCTATGCTTTCATCTACTCCATCTATCGTATAAAAATTACCACTACAGTCTGTTATTTGAAATTAGCATCTTCAACTATAACCAGAACTGTCCAATCGGTGTTGAGGGAATCACTAATATTTTGTTTTGTTTTTCTCCATTGTTTCCATTCAACTGAGCAAAAGTGTCTCACTCTCTGAGTTAGTCTCGTTGTCCGTGCATACGTTCTAGACCCTCGAGAGAACATTTTGAAATTAGCCTTTAATGAAAGGGAGATTCTAAACATTCATTTGGTGGAAATTTCAGCGATATTAATCTTTTAAGATAATGTTTTACATCTGAGATACGTGTTACCACTAATTTATCAGAGGTATACAAGTGGAACGACTAACCCCAATTTATGTATCCACAAATCTGCATGAAAATCTTCACCAGGTTAAGTCTTATACCACTTAGGCTGATGTAAATTGTATTTTTATTTTATGATATTTGATATGCGGGAATTGCCGCCAAGTTTTGAGAAATTTCTGAACTACTGTTCATCAGCCAAAAGATCTTTATCTCCTTAACAGCTTTGCCAAACACAGTAAATTTCTAGCTGTTCAGGATCTTGAGATATTATGTATGCGAAGATTTCACGTATATCCTAGCGCCGCGTAGTGAAAAAATTCTGTACTGCCGACCATCGAAAAAGTTTTGATCTCCTGGACAACTTTGCCGATGACAGTTTAGCAGGTCTCGAAATATATCTAATGCGAGAATTTCACGTGTATACAAGCGCAATGATGTGAAAAAAAATGAATTTCTGTCCACCAGCCAAAAGGCCTTGGCTCCCTGAACAACTTTGCCGAAGGCAGTAACACTCTATTTGGTCAGGATCTCGTGATATTTTATATGTGAAAATTTCACGTGTATACTGGCACCGCTTAGGAAATTATCAACTATTGTACACCAAGCAATAGGCTTTGACCTTCTGAACAACTTTGTCGAAGACAGAAACTTTCTATCTGGTCAGGATCTCGAAACAAACCACATGCGAGAATTTCACGTGTACTTTAGCGCTACGTAGTGAGAAAATTTTGAACTACTGTTCACTAGCAAATTCTATTTGATCAGAATCTCGAGAAATTTTACATGCGAGAATTTCGCGTGTATACTAACGCCATATAGTGTGAAAATTCTGAACTATTGTGCACCAAGCAATAGGCATTGACCTCATGAACAACTTTTTTGAAGACAATAATTTTCTACCTGTTCAGTATCTCGAGCTATAGCATACGCGAGAATTGTACATGTTTACTAGCGCCACGTGGTGAGAAAATTCTGGGCTACTGTCCACCAGCCAAAAAGTCTTGACCTCCTGAACAAGTTTGCCGAAAACAGTAGCTTTCTATCTGCTCAGAATCTCGAGGTATTGTATATGCGGGAATTGCATGTGTATACTAGCACCGAGTAGTGAGAAAATTCTGAACAACTGTCATCACATGTATACGAGCACTACCTACTGAGAAGATTCTGAACTACTGTTCACCAGCAAAAAGGCTATGATCTCCTGAACAGCTTTGCCTAAGACAGTAACTTTCTATATGGTCAGGATCTCGAGATATTTTATATGAGAATTTCACGTATGTACTAGCGCCGCGTAGTAAGAAAATTCTGAACTACTGTCCACCAGCCAAAAAAAAATGACCTACTGAACAAGATTGTCGAAGACAGTAACTTTCTATCTGGTCAGGATCTCGAGCTATTGTATATGCGAAAATTGCACGTATATACTAGCGCCACGTAGTGAGAATTTTCTGAACTACTCCACCAACGAAAAGATCTTGACTTCCTGAAAAACTTTGCCGAAAACAGTAACTTTCTATCTGGTCAGAATCTCTAGATATTTTATATGAGAATTTCACGTGTATTATAGCGCAGCGTATTGAGAAATTTTTTAACTATTGTGCACCAAGAAATAGGCTTTGATCTCTAGAAGACAGTTACTTTCTATCTGGTCAGGATCTCGAGATTTTCCATGTTGTAACCAATTAAGTCAAATCCCAAGTAATACGGACACCGTTTACGCGGTTTACATTCACATTTTCTCTATTATTCGCATTTTTTGGAGGTTAACTGTGATAAAAGTTTAGCTTGTTTAGTTAAAAACAAGTTTTTTAAAGAATACCCGTTGATTTCATATCGATTGGTAGCTCGGCTGCAAAATGACAATGGATAACTCACACCGTTGTACAAAGTACAACGCGCGAGTACTCGTGTTACAAAAGTTGTCGCGAGTAACGGAGGGTTAACGAGAGTTCTGAGAAGAATTCTACGATGAAGATTCTAGGTCTAATTCTAATAAGAATTCAAAATTAGTTCTAAAATTTTGCTTTTAGGGAGCTCTGATGAAAATTCCATGAAAATCCCGAGAACTCCAAAGATGGTCTCTGTCTCCTCTCTCTTAGTTGACTAACTTAAATTTAGGAAGTACTGCACGCATCGTCTTACTTGGTAGCTAGCTGGGCCTTTACCGACTGAGCTAAGAGAGGTCCCTTTAAAGCATTCTACAAGTCTAAAGCATGGTCTACAGAACACTGATAAAACAAAAATTGTTACTTGGGATGTCAACTGATCAGAGTGACCATGGTCACCCTATGACCCCGGATTTCAACAGCAATATTTTGTGTGACGTTTAAGAAGTTTCAGAATTGTATCGTCAATTCATTAGAAACGATGCGATGCCAACTGACCAGAGTGATAGTGTTTATCCGATGATCCCACACAAGTTCAGGAAGCTCCGGGGGATGGAACCAATACCTGATTGTAAAAGAAATCAGAAATCGTTCAGGATTTTATTGACAGTTCATTAAAGACTATGCCAACTGACCAGAGTGGTAATGGTCACCCGATGACTTCTGCCTGAGCTGGTTTTTGGAATCAGTTAATTAATCTGAAAATAGCATGTAGATTGGGTCCGACGAACACATCACAAAGGTCCTTCCACTGAGGATTGATCTCGTTGCAATAAAATCTATACAAGATAATGATATACTCAAATTGTCACCTATCTTCAAAAAAACAACCAATCAACCTAACTAGATTGGTATGTATTCTAAACTAAGTAGAGGCTTTACATTTCACTTCTTTGTTCTTGCTGTTACGAATTTCCATCGCTCTCAGCAAAAATAACCATACTGCCTGTGGTAAAGGAAAGGCAGAGGGAACCGCTGTGGGTGGAAAATGGAACAAATCACCAACACGGGTCATGGATTTTCACGCAACAGGCTAGAAAAGCGTTACATCATCACTCTTTGTTTCCACACTCACGCCCAGCACTGCTCAATTGATTCGTCCTTGTTTGCGCTGCTCTATGCTATGATCTCTCCCAAACGGTTTTATGTAATGAGGGAGGGCGGGGCGGAGGTCAACGAATTCCGACCGAGCCTGATTTTTTCTCTCGATTGGAGCTGGGATGGGAAATCTGGTATTCAAATAGCAGCTAGAGAAAAGAAGAAATGGGTGCTGCAAACGGAATGGACAAAAAAAAATATATGTTGTCAAAAGTTGGTATTGGACTAGCACAGGGATTCGGGCCGCGTTTCGGTACCGTAGTTCTGTTGAATGGGGACAATGATCCGAGCCAATTTTCGAACTCTGCACGAATCCGATTCAATACAAAATGAATTCTTACGCTTCCCAACAACAACGTGGAAAACTACTAGTGCACGGTACTAAATGTTGGAATTTCTCTTTCTCTCTGTCCTATTTACAGCTGAGTGCGACTGTGGTTGCGTCGAAAGTGCTACGGTCGTTGTGACCACCCCCACAACCAACACCTCCATCGGTAACGACACCGGTAGCAACAATAACAACAACATCAAGGACTGCGACAGCGGCGGCAGTACCGTTGTAGTAGCTGCTGTTTCCTCGGGGGCTATGGGCGCCCCATCCAACGGCTCCAAGACGGCACATTCAAAGGTTGCAACCGGAGGAGGTCATGCCAACACGCAGACCTCCAGCAAGCGGTCGAGCAGCGGAGCCGACGGCGACTACCAGTTGGTGCAGCACGAGGTGCTCTACTCCCTGTCTGCGCAGTACGAGGTAAGTCGAGTCCTTTTGCGAAGCACACATAATCCTTTTTCGACCCTTTCGGCAGTGGCGTAGCTCCTGGGGGTGCTGCCTGCCCGAGCAAGAACCGATAACTGACCGATAACATATGAATATCTTAATGTGGTAGGGGAAATGGATGTAATGTCGGCCCATACATAAATTCAGCAATGTGCAATAGCTACCAAAAATATCCATTAGTACCGTCCCAATGACGCGGTCATCTAGATAAAATTGATAAATAGTAGATTTTTAACGATGGGCTCAATCTTAGATCCATAGGCCAACATTAGAGCCATTTACCCTATGATGTCTTATTTTGGTATGCTTGATGTACACCTGTGTTCAATATAATAGCAGCGCATGCCGATTTCCATACAAAATGGTCAACTTTGACAAGTTGTAACTTTGTTCTCTTAAGATCAATTGAGCTGAAACGTTCGCCACAGAACTACAAATCTGTTCAATTTTACGATTACAAAACACCAAATTTTTGGAAGCACCTGCCGGAAAGTGAGACACAAGGTAAAATTGTTCTATATTGAACACAACTGTATAAAACCTTGTTTTTGTTTCATTCAACTATCGAAATATTTAGTAAATTATCAAATCATACATAAATTCCGCAATCGACTAAATTTGCAATAGCGACCAAAAATATCCAATAGTACCGTCCCAATGACGCGTTCATCTAGATAAAATTGATAAATAGCAGATTTTTAGCGATGGGCCAAATCTTAGATCCATAGGTCAACATTAGAGCCATTTCCCATAGATAATGGTTCTAAGAATTTCGTAAAAATTTGTTGTTTTGTTCCTTATCACACACCGAAAAAGTTTTCACTTAGTTTCTATTAGGAACGCACATAATATTTTTTCCAATAACAAAAATAATTATTTTTATCTGAATATCATTAACATAAGAAATTCTATGTGAGTAATCATATAAATTTTATTGGACGCATAACGTGATTTAGTGGTGCGATTTCCAATAATGGGATCACATGAAAGTTATGTGAAATTCACATGGATATTTTCCACTGGTTATGTGATTTATTTTATGAGTGCAATATATTAGACCTGTATTTTTTATCATTAGGGTGACCATTTTCATATTAGTGTGGTACAAAATATCGTGTGTTTTCGATTTTTTTTCTTAATTGTTTTTTTTTTCAAAATTTTATTCGTTTTTAAAGATCAAAATATCAAATAATATAAATAAAATGTTATTAAGAATACGTTTTAGTAAAAATATACTGATATTAAAAATTGCGATTTTGTATTGAAAAACATTGATTGTTTTTTATGGTTTTCTTGGTCCCAATTTTTTAATATCTTTATTTTTTTTTCCTAAAAAGTATTTTAATTACTTTTCATTTGATATGTTGATCTTTAAAATCGGTTCAATTCTTGAAAAAAAGTAATTTAAAAAACAATTTTGGACCACCCTAACATGGAAATGGTTACCCTAATGACAAAATAAAAACACATGAGTCTAATATTTTGCGACGTTAAAAAGTCAGACCTTAATTCTAGATAGAGCTGGAATTAGGGCGTAACAGCTTTTGTAAGCAATGACTTCTTTCGATGATTTCTAGAAAGTTAAGGCTCACCAACGCAAATCAACAACACCATTGGGTAGAGGAAGACTTCCCCTACCCGACGGTAATGTTGTTTTGAGTGGGTGTGCCTTGAGTTCATATAAATCGTCGATAGAAGTCGTTGTTTACAAAAGCTGTTACGCCCTAATTCCAGCTCTATCTAGAATTGAAGCTGGCACGGGTTGGTATCCACTAGTTGCCTAGTGCAGCTCCACCAAAACCCATTCCTTACTCACTCCTCTACCTGGATCCACCGGGACCACGTTGAAGTGACTACTTCGAGGGGGCAGTACTCATGTACTTTTCATACTCTCTGCGCTAGCTGGCGTTGCTAGATCACTGCTAATCTCTCCATTTCATTTCATCAACGAAATTCTCCACGTTAAGGACAGGCATCTCATCTCCCTTCGCACTGTCTCGCACCTTGGACACAGGCTTGCTGAAACTCCTCAAACTCACTGGAGGTTTTAAAACACTCATGTCCTGCGAGTTTAGCCAGCCCTCACCTCGAGTGAGTGGCGGAAGGAATATGGATGAAGTAAACAAAAACTCCTCGAGAGAGAGAGGGATAGTGAACTTCAGCGAGAAGATGATTTGACGTGAGGGGCGCTTTTCGAGACTCCGGATGACTTTTTTGTTCGACGCAAGAAGCTCAGAGTTCACCCAGAGTGAGAGTAAGAGCGTGTGATAGAAAACATGAACAGGAATGGCAGCAAACCTCACTCTCGTTTTATCCCCCTTCGCTCACAAGCTCTGAAGCTCAGTGGAATGATTTGGCAGTAGGCATTCTACTCCTCAGAAAAATGCTACGTTCGGCTCATTTCAAACTCGCGAGTGAGGCTCCATCAAGCCAAAGACCACATGCTCCGGCGTTTCATCCACGTTGCCACACGGCGGACAAAGGGGTCACGCTGCGTGTCCGAATCCATGCAGGTATTTCCTGAGACAGCCGTGGCCAGACAGGAACTACGTCAGGTAGTGGTTGACTTCTCCGTGTTTTATGTTCACCTAGGTCGAAAGAATCGGTAATAACCGATGTGTCCATCTACCGTTATCCACCGTGTTCCACTCCTATTGCCACTTTTCCAAAGACTCCGCTTTCACCACTTTCCGGCTTCTCTCCGACTGTAGCACTCGCTGTTCTCCGCCGGGTGATGCCGATAGGGATCATTCCGGCGATAGCGCATACTGCTTCCGATGAGATGGTTATGTATGCACTCATGACTCGCATGGTCATGAGCCGATACGTACTGCTCAGTTTCCTTTGGGTCTGCTTCGTTTCCAGTGCTCCAAACCAGGCTGGACCTCCATCCACTCTAGCTATTGTGTTGATGGCCTTCGAAGCATTCTCACAGACATATTCGACGTGGCTGGCGAAGTTTAGCCGGTCATCGATCATCACTCCCAGGTATTTCAACAAGCGCTTCGAGGCAAAGGCGTGCGTTGGACCAATGATGGAGCCTTGTGGACCTCCCGCTGTGATCCTTATCGATCTCTGTCCCATGTCTGCCTCGTAGACCAGACCAGGTTCTGGAAGTAGCTCCTCAGAATCCTGCACAGGTAGTCTGGGATCTTCACTCTATGCAGCGCTTTGGTAATGGCTTTCCAGCTGCGCTGTTGAACGCATTCTTGATGTCGATCGTTATCACGGCGTAATATCGATCTCCTCTTCGCTTCTGTTTGGACGCTTTCTCGGCTCTCTCGAACATTGTCAGAATTGCATCCACCGTTGATCTCCCTTTCCGGAATCCAAACTGCCTCTCCGACAATCCAAAACAAAAGCTGATAGGGCTGATTAGGTTGAAGCATTGTCCCTTTCAATTTCCGATGTTGTTTAGCTCCGTTGAATTCTACAATTTGGAATGACGAAAGCTCTTGAAAATTGAAAGTCAATCAAAACTTTCATGTACAATTTAATGAAATATGTTATGCTCTTTTTTTATTTTCTAAGAATAAATGTTGCTGAATATGAAGCAATGTTTTTATTACAATTGCAGGGCTGTTACAGGTGCGGATTTCGTGATTTTCGCGGATTTGTCGCGGATTAGAAACTTTCAGTCGCGAAAATCCGGCCTCCCTTAGCTCAGTCGGTAAAGGCGCAGCTACAAAGCAAGACCATGCTGGAGGTGGCTGGGTTCGATTCCCGGTCCGGTCTAGGAATTTTTCGGGTTGGAAATTTTCTCGACTTCTCTGGGCATAGAAGTATGATTAGACTTGCCACACAATTATACCAATGCAAAAATGGTACAGGCATCGAAAGCTCTCAATTAATAACTGTGGAAGTGCATCTAGAACACTAAGTTGAGAGCACGCAATAAGCTAATATGCGATATGCAATAAGCTTGAAATGCGAAGAAGAAGAAGAAGAAGAAGTCGTACACAAAAATTGTGGAATTGATTGTAACCTTTCCGTCCCGGACTATTTTGCTGTCATCAATTTTGTTGTTCATTTGGCTCTCAATTTTTTACCGTTTCAAACCAAATACCCTGCAAATAATAGAGAAATGATCTCAATTCCATAGATCACACCGGATTTACACGGAAATTCCCTGAGGTCTGTCCAATGTGAGAAATTTTCCTTTTTTTTAATATGAACATAGCATTTTTCGTTGTCAAATCATAAACGAATCGTATATATGCGAGTAATTGTCATATATACCGGATATTCCAGGTTCTCCAAATCGTCCTGGAGTTCAGTCGATTTGTTCTACTATATCAACGAAGACTTCAATAATGTCTGTAGTATCGAAATATGTCCAAACAGATTCAAAGTGTCTATGTGGATTGTACCCGACCTATTGCTACGTATACAATATGTTATAGGTTCTGAAATCATTCTGAAGATCAGATAATTTTTCTACTAGATCACCAAATTCTATGTCTGTAGTATCGAAATATGCCCAAACAAATTTGCAGTGTCTATGTGGATCATGCCAACCTATTTCCGTGTATGCCAAATGTTCTAGGATTTCCAAATCGATATTTCGATACTACAGATATTTGTTGATCTAGTAAAACAAATTATCTGAACTGCAGGACGATTTGGAGAACCTAGATCATCTGGTATACGTGGAAATAATTAAACATTTTCCATATAGACACTATGAATCTGTTTGGACATATTTCGATACTACAGACTTTATCCCAGTCATGGTTGTTCTAGTAGAATAAATCATCTGAACTCCAGAACGATTTGGAGAACTTGAAACATCTGGCATACATGACAATAGTTCATGCATGATCCATGAAGACACTGTGCATCTGTCTGGAAATATTTCGATACTATAGACATTGTCCCAATCTCGGTTGATGTAGCAGATCAAACTATCTGAACTCCAGGACGATTTGAAGAACCTTGAACATCTGGATTACTCAGAAATAGATCATACATGA